GTTTCACCTGCATTTGGTAATAATGTTGCCTGAACATTGGACAACCTAAATGGAAGACAAATATAATATAAAAACAAAACTGAAACCTACAAAATTTAAAAATAACAAATAACAAAACTCTATGTATATATCTTTATTTTGGAAATATAGAGTATATATTTCCAAACTAAAATGATGTATACATTGAAGATCAGTTTTATAATTCACAACTATTCTTCATTTTGCAGCATTTTGTAAACAATATCTGGTCAACGGGAATTTCCAGATCCTATGCTTGCTGAACCATTGGCTGCAAAACAAAAAGAAATCTAAAATCACAGAAATACATTGAAAATTATATTTTGACCTCTACAGATATTATTGTTTTAACACCAATGCCTCCCATATACTGTATATTTACATACATACATATACATTTACTTATCTACATGTTAATTAATTTTTACCTTTGTCTGATGGGCCTGCACAGGTTCCACACAAATCACTGATATTTGAGTGTCCAGATCTGTGTATGACACATTATCTTGCAAATACCCAGCAGTATATTTATTTACTTTACATAATGTTATTTTATCCAAGTACATATCCATGCTGTTCATGCTTCTGTGATATGATGTTCTTCTTTCTCCAAAACATGTTTGCATTGTGAGTGCATCCTTTGATGAAATACCTGAATCCATTGTGTGGGTTTCAAAAGATAAATATCTTTCAAAATCTTGGAAGAAAAATTGGAGAATGATCAACCAATTATTCTCCCTGTCCATGTTTTTACACTTGTTTGTCTAAGGTTGCAACAGAAAGGGTTATCTCCCATAGGCTGACAGAGCTACATACACAAACTGTAGATGTCAATTCATCTGTCACTAATTAATGGTTATTTTTTCCTGCTTTGGTGTTTTAATTTTGTTATGTTTTTTTTTATTAACAATGTGCAAATTTTAGGTACTATTTAAAATTATTTTTTTTAAACCTTGAAGTATTCATATACCAGAGAAAGCATATACATGTGATAAAAGTCTTCATAAAGTTGCAAGTAATATCATAGAAGGAGTAGAAAAACAGCCACAGGTATATTTTGGCTATAAAAAAATACTGTTTGATTTTACATCATTAAATTGCTGAAATCAATTGTACATGAACACTGTTGTTGAAATGAGTTCTGAGTTTGTTTTGTACTACCTAAAACACTTGGAAGATTCCAAGGCTTTTTTAGGTAGCTGCATCTACTATTGTTGATAGCATTACCTTTTTATGAAATCAGTTTGAGAACAAGTCAGTTTACCCAGTCTGCCCACATGACACCACTAAAGCTGGATAATTAAAGGATGCAAACAACTATAGACCAATATCTTCCATCCCTTTTCATATTACTTTAAAAGCATGTACACAGTTCTGTGAACTAGTTCAACAATCACAGTCTACTTGATGAAACTATATGGCTTTCGGAAAGATCATTTTAACTGCCACTCATCTACAGATTGACAGATGGCTGCAATCCAGGTTCTTCCTCTACCATTTATACTGGCTTCCATGTAAAACCTATCTTGTGTTGAAAAATGTTGTTAAACCCTACAACAACAAGAATATCCAATATGGTCACCACAGTAGCCATTTTGAAAAACTTAATATTACTATAATTCTTAATCAGAATAACTCTTAATTAAAATGACAGTCATCTTGTGGGTTTTCATCCGATAATTTGATATGGTGTCTAGATAATTTTAAATAAAAATGTTGCAAATCTGATATATGTTATGCCTGCCTGCCACATAAGCATTCTTGAAAATTTTATTACTACTCCTTGATTGATAGTCATATCAGCAATGGGTTTTTACTGGAAGACATCTGATGTCTTGTTGGTATTAAAGGAGAATGGTGCTGATTTGACAATAGCTATAGCCAAAAGACCATACATGAACATTTTGTAATTGCTACTCCACCCTTAATGGAAAGTCACATTAACATGGGGTTTTCACTAAAAGATGAAGTTTGATATATTTTGGCATCAAATAAAAATGATCTGAACAGAAATATGACTGTCAAAATGTATATATTGGAATTCTTTTAAATGGATGGTCATATCAATAATGGGGTTTTGTTATCAAAACTTTTTAATAGTATCTAGTATGTCTTATATTAAACAGTACTGATTAAAAATGACTGCCATGATAGCTAAAATTTGACAATCTTGTCACTCAGAAGTATCAGAGATGAAAGAATAGAGTGTCATTGTCATGGAGGGATTCTTTATTTTTTTAATAGGTAATGACCAATAGTGACAATAAGTTTCCTAGACTTGTGTATTTATATGCATCAAGATTATTGTTACCAACATTTGTTACATAAATGATTTTATATCTGAATTATGCAAAACTATCAAGTCTTCAGAATTTTACATGATTATTTTTATTCTCTATCAAAAAGAATAATTATATTTTGCCCTAATATATACATGTTTTGTTGATGGTAAAATAGGTCAAAATGAATCTTCATTATAGGCATTATGTTGTATATCTTAACACTGAGGCAAGTCAAATGTAGTGGGATGGAAGCATATTTATGAAAATGTATCATGAAATTTATATTCCCAATTTGTGTAATAAATTACATGATCCTTGAGATGTAACTATGCTTTATAAGTCTATTGGCATTAATTAATGCAGTTTGCACACAAATCTCTGGAAACTGTCACTGACTATTTATAATTATAGCTCTTGCAGTTCAGATATTTCAGATTGTTAAGTTTTTTAGCTTTTCTATGATAAATAATTATATATTTTTTTTTATAAATTGATTATTGAACTTTTGTTTTAATGGTTAATAAATGCTATATTGTTGTATTCCTTCCCCATTCATTACTGCTTCATTTACAGGGTTGCACGCATAATTCTGAATTTACATTCTATGCAATAATGATTCGCTGTTATGAAATTTTAAAACTCATTAAAAAAGAATATTATATAAATATGACATGCAGTAGAAATTGATGTCTTTCAGATTTGAACTTTTGAATTACAGAATTAGAACCATTTTATTAATAACCCTTCTCCATATGGCAAGATTTGAGTTTTCCAGATGGATAAATGGAATACACAATTAAAGTGACATGCCATGAAGAGGCAGGTTACACAGTATCTCTGATTCATGCCAATGGAATTGCATCTAGAGTCATAGCCAAGGCTTGAAAACCATGTAGACAAAGGAGCTGCAGTGGTCAGTATAGGATAAGAAACAATGATTTTGCTGGATTAGGGATAACCTCAGGCACTGTATTCCTATGTGTCAAATCAAATTGATACATGACAGAAATCAAGCACATTTGGTTATTGCTACTTAAAAACTATAGGCTGTTGGCTTGAGTGGATTTTTATCCTGAGATTTAGCAACCATAAAACCAGGAAATTAAAGACCCAAGCAAACAGGCACAGTTACAGACTTCTTTGCTATAAGAATCTATATGCTAATTCTGGTAAATTGTACTGATCCAAGCTTGCTGTATTTGTCATGCACTGAGTAGTAATATATTCAGCAAAATAATATTTGATATTTTTAGCTATAGAAATAGTGTCTGTCTGTTTGTCTCTTTATCTGTCTCTCTCTCTTTGTCTGTCTGACTCTCTCTCTCTCTCTCTCTCTCTCTCTCTCTCTCTCTATATATATATATATATATATATATATATATATATATATATATATATATATATATATATATATATATATATATAATCCAGTGGTTCACATTTAATACCCACTCAAACTAACCCATACAGAGTTCCTGCAGTGTGTCCTTGGGAAAATTTTGCATTCCCAATTTCCTCAGTACCATCTGGCTGATAATACATCTGCAAGCCTATCTTCTCCAAACCACCTAGTGAAAAATTTTCACCAACATTGTAGATTTAAGTGCCTTTTTGGTTACTGTCTGCAGTAGAGATATATTGTGCCCTCCCCCCTTCAATGAGGTCTGTAAGAGGATAAGGTGAAAAGTCAAATATATAAAAATTGCAGTAACTGTGGCATTTGTTAATCTTTTGACCAAACTCCTATATGCAGTATTATCTGGAGGACACACAACATTAGCAACAGATTAGAGGTCATGACCCCCATGTCATGGCCAATAAGGTTTGGAGAAATAGAACTTTGCTGTGACAAACAATGAAATTAGCTTTAGTTACTATGGGATCAAACTTTTCAGTTTCATTTCTAAATTTTTAAAACTATTAGTGAAAAAACCTCCAGATAAAGAACTAAGATACACTTGAATACAAACGTGAATGAAATCTACACATAATGGCTAAACTTGTCAACACTAGCATCTCAGTTTCTGATCAGATTTTGATCAGACTTGCAAAAAATATGGGTAGTCTTGTATGGTGAAGATGTTGAATGTGTTTAATAATGAGCAAGAGTGAATTTCATTTGTGTTTATGTGCCAGTTTGTTAAATAAGCTTGCATCGTCATTGTTGTGGACAGGTTCTGTAATAAGTGAAATCTGCACATATTAATGAAGTGATCTTTAATGTGATTCCATGCTAAATAGGTTTATCTCTTTAATATCTTCCTTTTTTATTTGTGGCAGTGAACATCTTAACAGTGGACCTTTTATATGCATGGAATATGGTTTCCATTGTAATGGAAAATCCTGGGGAAACAAACTATTGCCATGGAAACTGATGGAAATATTATGGAAAATGGCCAAAAATAATAAAATCACCCTTAACTTACTTGCTGATAGGTAGTGTTGAAGTAAGTGCTTTGAAGGGCTGAAAGGAGAGGAGGGGGCCATATTGACAGAAGACTTTTGGGGTTTTCTTCACTATTAATCAATATGGTCATCATTTCCGGTGTACAGATCCAGCTTTCTGGACTATGTCATATGTGTTAAAGAATTTAGTCATTAAAAATCAAACATTAGTCAAGGAGAAGTCACAAAACCCATATTTTATGAAGTCACAAAACCCATATTTTATGAAGTCACAAAACCCATATTTTATCAGCTGCTTTGGTGGCTTAGTGGTTAGAGCATCCGCCTCAGATTCAAGAGGTTGTGGGTTCGAACCCTTAGCATTGAAGCTGGAATTAGATAAAATTAGTGTGGTTTGATTTGGTTTTGGATCATTTATGGCACAGCAACATATTGTCCAGGGGCAAAGTGATTAAAATGCCTTACCCAAATGGACACCACATAAAGTTAAGTGTCTTACTCAAGAATACAACATGGTAGATTAAAATGCCTTACCTAAATGGACACCACCTAAAGTTAAGTGTCTTACTCAAGAACACACCATGGTAGATTAAAATGCCTTACCCAAACGGACACTACATAAATTCAAGTATCTTACCCATGAACACACCATGGTGGATTAAAACCTTACCCATATGGACACCACATAAAGTTAAGTGTCTTACCCAAGAACACACTATGGTAGATTAAAATGCCTTACCCAAATGAACACCACATAAAGTCAAGTGTCTTACCCATGACCACACCGTGGTAGATTAAAATGCCTTACCCATATGGACATCACATGAAGTTAAGTGTCTTACCCAAGAACACACCATGGTAGATTAAAATGCCTTACCCAAACGGACACCACATAAAGTCAAGTACAGTAGTCCCCCTCTTATATGGCCACCCCTTCTACACCAGGAAAGTGGCCTTATAAGGTGGGTGGCCTTTCTAGAGGGGGACTAAATTTTTTGTGAGAATTATATGTACGTAGTAAGAAAGCTCCATTTTTCAAAGCATTTAATATCTTCATTTAAAAGCAACATTAAATATTGAACGGTTTTTGTGCTATAATAGTTGACTTATTTCAACTGAATATGCATTAATAGTTCTTATTCTTGGCGTAAGCGTGATATGCGAGCGGGTGTTGTCATGCACATTGTAAAACTATTCAAAAACGTCATTTGAATCTTGGTACATACGCAATTCTCTTTCCATTTGCTCCATTTTCCCACTACTGTTAAAAAACTTATCGGTTACAATGTTATTTTTTCGAGTCTTTTCAACATAAAATTGTTTTATTCGAGTCTTTTCTACCTAAATTTGTTTGACCAGTTCCCCTCCCCCCACCTCACCGGATATCGTAGACTATAATAACCGACGTTTTCTGAAATAATCATCTTCGTTTACGTGTTGACATGTTAATGTTTGGTAATAAATTATTCCGATGTTGCTAACTGTATGCGATTTAAATATGCAGGCGACACATTTGTTGAGTGGACGAAATTCTTTTTTCGTAAAGAAGCGACAAGTTGTGTTGTCACGTGATTTTTCGGTCTTTGTCTAGTACCCTTTTTCTCTTTTTAGCCAATGCTGACCGTGTGATCTTGACATTACGTCCAGTTATAGTCATCAATGTGGCAACTACAAGACTGATAAAACAATTTTTTTCCTGCATTTAAACAAGATGCTGTATATTTTTAAAGGCAGCAATTGTCACGTGATTCATTAGTTGCAGTCTGGTACCCTATTGTTTTTATTTATTTTTTTTACTCTAAGTTCGAAAAACGGCTTGGATATGTAGGATGATTTGATCTGAACAATAGCACATTGAGACCGTTAAACTTTACAATTGTTGAGTACTAGCCATTAATTATGTAAGTTCAACATGCGGCAAAGGAAAGCCATAAAGGCTATCAAACCATTTTCCTCGAAGACTTTTGTCTGGTACATCTATATTGCCTCATCTCCTAGGTTACTAAGTGTAATCTTAACAATTATCAGCAGATAAACCAGACATCTTAGGATAACACCAAGTAAGGATGTATGGATTACCTTTATGTAAGGAATAAAATTTGAGTCTTGCTCAGCGTCACGGAATAAATGTGACTTCTCATGAGGTGTAAAGGATATAATATTAACCTTAGGGGTACCTGTAGAACACTTTTTTGAAGAACGAAAACCTGAGGTCGGGAAACAGAAATTGGATTACTTACCACAATTAGAAAAAAAAATTGTTCTAGATACATATTACAAAATAAAATGCGGCCGAATGTGAGGGGTAAATTTTATGTTTTTGCAAAAATATGCTGGCCGCTGGTCGCGTTAGCCGGGTGGCCTTTCGTGAGGGGTAATTTTGAATACAAATTCGTTGGTGCCTTCAGATTCTGGCCATAAGGAGCAGGTGGCCACTGGTGAGTGGGGCTGTCCAAGAGGGGGACTACTGTATCTTACTCAAGAACACACCATGGTAGATTAAAATGCCTTACCCAAATGGACTCCACATAAAGTCAAACATCTTAATCAAGAACACACTATGGTAGATTAAAATGCCATACCCAAATGGACACCACATAAAGTCAAACATCTTAATCAAGAACACACTATGGTAGATTAAAATGCCATACCCAAATGGACACCACACAAAGTCAAGTGTCTTACTCAAGAACACACTATGGTAGATTAAAATGCCATACCCAAATGAACACCACATAAAGTTAAGTATCTTACTCAAGAACACACCATGGTAGAGTCAAGTACCTTACCCAAGAGGACACCCAGTAGAGTCAAGTACCAAATCCAAGAAGACACCATGGTAAAGTCAAGTGCCTTGCCCAAGAGGACATCGTGCTAAAATCAAGTGCCTTACCCAAGAACACAACACAGTAGAGTCAAGTGCCTTACCCAAGAGGACACCTAGTAGTCAAGTACCAAATCCAAGAGGACATCATGATAAAATCAAGTGCCTTACCCAAGAGGACACCTAAATTAGAGTTAAGTGCCATATCCAAGAACACACAACAGTAAAGTCAAGTGCCTTACCCAAGAGGACACCAAAGTAGAATCAAGTGTCATACCCAAGAGCATGCACAGTAGAGTCAAGTGCCTTACCCAAGAGGACACCCAGTAGTCAAGTGCCTTACCCAAGAGGACACCAATGTAGTCAAGTGCCTTACCCAAGAGGACACCAATGTAGTCAAGTGCCTTACCCAAGAGGACACCCATTAGTCAAGTGCCTTACCTAAGAGGACACCAATGTAGATAGGATCAAGTGCCATACCCAAGAGCATGCACAGTAGAATCATGCTTTACCCAAGAGGACACAACAATAACATCAAGTTCCTTACCCAAGAACACACTACAGTGGAGTCAAATTCCTTACCCCAAAACACACTGAAGGAATAACAATCAGTCTGTTGGAAGCTATTATCAAGGTTTCTCACATACTTGTGTTGCTTGAGCCAGGACTTGAACTTGCATGGACAGAGGTGAGATGTGTGAGTTATTTTTAATGGCGAGCACCTTTGACCACTCAGCCACCTGGTCTCCCCACCCCAATGGTAGGAATTAAACCCAAACCCTTTTGGTTACATGTCCATTAACCACAGAGCCATCACAATTCTGATAGAATTTACTTATGTGATGGATAGATAGATGGTAAAATAGTGGTGTCTGACCCTTTGAAATGTTTGTGGCAGACATAACAAAAGAAGGGACAAAGGTCTTATTGTGTTTTGCAATTTTGATTGCAGATATTTGGAAATGAAGCATTCAATTTTCCATGGTCTTGATATACCCTCTAACATAGCTGTGATGTTCATAGAGTATGGAAATCACACAATAGTATATTTAATTATGTGAAACTACATTTGACTCTCGTAACACAGGTACTGAATTGAAATGAAACTCTATAGCGATATTAAACAGAAAATAAACCTAATTTATTGGGATCCATTAACACATCCACAAAATAGGCTGTTACATTAAGAGGCTTCACAGTGACCATTACGAGTAATTTTGATGTTCAGCCATCGTGCAGAATAAATGTTCAGTACCAACCATTACAAAGATACTTAAATTTTATCACTATTTTTAAAAATTTTGTTTGTCGCAAATTTGCATTTGTTCTTCAATGGAAGAATTTATATTAAGGACTTAATAACATTGAAGAATATAAAGAAACGTTTAGTAGAAGCTGTAGTATTGAATTAAGATTTCAGATGTGAAACCCAGAGTCCCATAGGGGAAACTAGTTTTAGATTTTGTAAAATGTCTTAATGAATGGAACATGAACATGATTTTGTTTGAATACTTCTCATAAAAAGCAGTGAGCTTAAGGAGAATGTGTCCCCATATCTGGGACACTGCAAAACTTTCTAAGGGACAAATAATTGTGTTAGAAATAATGATAAAAAGGATGCACAGGGTTGAAAATGGTGGGAAATGGTGCCAGAAATCCACTATCTAAATTCTTATTGTGCAGCACTAAACTCAATAGATCAATGAGTATAAAATATGTTTAAGTTTAAATTTCAAATAAAGAAAATTATATATGCAAAAGAAGAGCACTTTGCTGTTCTCATTTGAATAATTGCATACCATTTATGTAGAATCTAAATGTTTAAAGACAAATTCATTTTTTTCCAACACTAGGCACAAGCCATTAATGTTCTTATTCAGTTTCTTAAGAGCAAACATTCATATCTATTGTTGGGACGAAAAGTATATCATTGATAAAATTGTACTTCTCTATATCAGCTCTATTGGCAGGAAGATTTTGACTGTAGAGTTATGGCTGATATTGGATTTGCATCAGTTATTGGGCTCAGGCACGTATTACTCAGCTTGCTTTGGAATAAACTTGTGTGGGCAAACATTTATCAGTGGTCTGTGATTGACAGTGAGGATGATTTGGCCTGTATATGATACTTATGTCTATATTGATTATTCCATTTATATCAAATGGGGGTGATCAAAATACATTTATTGCAAACACAATAATGAGGCAGCTTGGAGCTAAGCTTGATACATAAAATGGTTATTGATTTTCATGAAGCTGCATAGGGAGGTTTTTTACTTACATCTTCGGTAATGTTAATAAAAGATGATAAATTTTGTTCACTGGTGTGTAATTGATAACAGGTATGATTAGAATTTATTGCTGACACTGTAGTGAATGCTGTAAAATAAACATTACAAGTGTGGTTCATATTGATTGTAAGGACATTTAACAATTATTTTGTAGTGTTGTTTAGCACCTATGTATAGATATGCAGATGAGTATAAAATAGCTGGAAGCTTGTTCATGGTATAATGCAACAGTCTCTTGTCCAATAATTTCAATAA